AATTGTTTTGTTAAAATACGGGCAACGCACGACGGACGACGCACGACGGGCGACGGCAGATATGGAATTCCATATCATGGAGACTTACCAGTGTGTATATCGCGGATGCGTTGGATCCCGATCGGACGTTATCAAAACAGCAGCATCTTTGCATGATGGCCATGATGAACGTACTCAAGTTCAGTAAATTTTTGCTAGCAGCAAACCAAGAGGTTCCCTGTTTTTAATGCAAACGGCTTGCAACCATAACCAGCACAGTGCAGGCCCCAGTACTCCAGTAACGCACGGAGTTATTATGATACAGTACTGCACATCCTGGGCGTTGCTTTTGCGTGCTTGTGTTGCACAATGACGTGCAATGCGCATTACCGTTTCCATTGGTCGCCGTGCGCTGGTTGACTCAGAACCGTCCAATGACCCCCTTACCGACGAGGACAGCTCGTTTCAAGGGAAGGTCACCATCTAGATGGAGGTCACTGGCATACATAATACCGAAGGTACAATGCCAATACTCCTGTGCTGAGTGCTTGGCTGCAACATACGTGTATTATCATGGAGGTGTTCCTTCCTCCATGGTAATATTAATATTCTCTTGTAAATTTACGAAGGATTCCATGTCAACTGGCATAGCAAAGGCTGTATGAATGTACAGAGATTATCGGCTGATCGTTTTGTACCTAATCGGAGGTTACGTTATGTATTTACAAAAATATTGCTGTCCTCATGAAAGCTTGTTTACGTGTGATGCCATTGTCAGGTTCGTTGGCGACGCGTTCATGTACAGTACGTTCACTACGGCTCTGTAACTGTGTGACGCGTTTCTTACTTGGTGGGCAGTGATTTACTCTCCGAACTAAGTATAATATCAAACTCAACCGGTATCATTTTTCTGGGCATCCGTTCCTCTCTAACATTTTGTCATGGTTGGCTGGTAAAAAAATTATACCGGCTGATTTTTGGGGGCAGTTCTTATTTTTGACATACCGGATGGATTCAAGTAAAACACTTTATCCACGGAAGCATTACCTAAGAACATAAAATGCGAGATAAATGGCAAAATCAGCTTCATTTGAAGTTTTGCGCTTTCTGGGCCAATGTACAAATTAATGCTAATTAATGTTAAAGTACTGCTTTGGTGGCATATTTGTGAAATGTAAACAGGGTTTGCGTTTGGTTTGTATTTCATTTCCGCTTAACCCCGGGGTTGACGTTAAGGTCTTGTAGGCCTCACGAGCCCTGAGCTTCTATCCATGGAGCCAATAAACACAGCTGCTAAGTCATGGGCATGCCGAAATCAGCCTTGATCCCTGCCGTCTGTTTGGTTTCCCTGCGGTCATTCAGAGAGCGAAAGGCCAGAAAAAAAGACTGTTAATTCAGGCCGAAGTGGTGGAGGGCCCAGTGTTACCGAGCAAATCCACTCACTGAGAAAGGATAGGGAAAACAGCTAGTTCCAATGTACAAATTTTATTCAGGTGTAGCTAGGGTGTTATAAAAAAAAGAAAGAAACACACAGCAGAGATGATGAACTGTCTGTAAGGTAGAGGAAATACATAGCCAGTAAATTACAGGTTTAAAGTTAATTGTTCCAGGACAGCGATTTCCTAACTGTAATGTTTACCACATTACCCAAATTAGCAGGAATGGTCCATGTATTCATAAAAAGAATATTATGTATTTACAATTTCATTACAAATATAAAACACATAATCGTAATCTACAAAATAATATTTCACCGTTGACAATATATTTCTGGTTCTTTTATAAGAGTTATTCGACTTACTTGTATTTAAGTGAAATTGTTTTTGTAATCTCACAAAACTCTACAAGGAAATGGAATGGCCTCAGCCCAGCTCAGAAAATCATAGGACTAACCATTCTTGAAAGTTCATGCAGTGATAAAAACTAGCCAAAGTAAATATTATGAAGGTTTCATTTCCTCTTTTGTAATTACTTAGGTGTTCCTTGTGTAACGGGGAAAAATGGCACACCATTATGGAGAACTCGCAAAACAACAAAAACTCCAACCAAACCAAGGATCTTTGAGTGAAAGGTGGCAGGAGACTAAATTAAAAGGGACTCAGACACTAGTATTTTACTTCAACAAAAGGACCCAAAAAAATTTACCGATGAAAAAGTAATGGAAAAATGCAAAGGACTAAAGGACTCAAAACCAACACCAAAAGACTAAAAACTCTAAAAGGACAAAAAACCAAAACCAACACAGTGTGTAAAATGGACCTAATAAGGAGAGTTTGGCTTTCGATAGAAGCAGACAGACACCTGACTCAAGCAAAAACGTATTCCAGTGAGGAGGAACAAATGAACAGTGATAGTGTCTCAGTACTGGTCTGCTCTTCAAACTAAATGGTCAGAGCATGGGTGTCAAGTTATATGGGTAGAAGCAAGGGTCAAAGTAAATAAACGGGGATACACTAACAGAAAAAGACAGAAGAACTCTAAAAAAGAGGGAAACTAATCCTATAAAAAGTTGTTTACAAAAAGTTTAACAAATTTCTAGCTCTGCCACACTTGCAACATTAAAGCTCGTATGTAGAATCAGTTGTATAGGATTCACATGTAAAACGAATTTCCAATTATAGACAATAAAATTATTAGGTTATGTACAAATAATCATCCATTGCCATGAGATAATTCTTCAAGTTCATCATACAAGATGTATTTTTGCGTTGGGGAGATGTTAATTATATATAACGTGCTTATAAATGCTTATAAATATACGTTGGGTAAGGGCAAACCCGTTATATATAATTCATCATACAAGTAATTAAGTGCAGCATTGTTGAATGAGATGCAGATTCTACAGCATCAAAACCTAATGGTTATCAGCAGAGGCTGGCAAAAAGGAAGAAATGTTAACTCTGGCTGAAGTTTGATCGAAAGCAACAACTGTGCATTTTTCTCAACAAGAAAACTCTGAAAATGCCTCAACAAATGTTCGGTATGCGAAAAGAACAAAAACGAGGATGGAACGACGTATTCTAGTTCCGCGCGTAAAATCCGGGGGGGGGGACTGACTACTAGAACAAAAAGTGCAGGTCCGCAAGAGGGCGCTAGATTGTTTATGCATGGCCACGTGCGACTCGCATGTTCTGCGGAAGATCATATAGCCCCGCGACGCGGGGCACCTTCGGCGCTATGGGTGCACCCTCGCAAAAAGGCCCTAAATATGTCCGCCGAGCTCATAAATAAAAGTTATA